CAAATCCACCAGCCGCTCCTCAGGAGGAAGATGAGGCTGTCTGTTCCAGTGGAGATTGATGGTCTCCATAGGGTACATGGTGACCCTGTAAGTTGAAATCAACTTGATGATAGAAGGTATGTTTTGACTTTGAATGTATTTCTACAGGGACGTCATTTGACATCTGGCTGAGAACATACCCTCTCTGGAGCAAGCCTGGTGCTCAGGCTGGGGAGGTGATACCCAGTTTTGGTCTTTGAAAACCAAACGTGTCTCTGGGCAGCCTCTGTGAAGAGAGGGAGTTGATCAATGGGGTTCGTTCTATCCTGGGGCCTTACACTTGCTCCCTCCTTTCTGTCTCCTTCGGCACTAATCCAGACCAGCCTGTTGGCAGGGGGCGGGGGGTGGGGGTAAGGTAGAGAGTAGGAACCAGGTGACCGCAATGCCCCAAACAGCTTCCTTACTGTATTTGGGACTGGGTGTGAGAAGGGAGTCATTTCTCTTTCCTGGGATAATAAGCAGGGGGTCACTTTCCCTCACACCAATCGTCAAATTTCCATCTTTTTTTTTTAACATTAAAAAGGCATTTTATTTAAACAGTGCATCAAAAGGTTGGATATTCTCTTTCTCCAGATCCACAAGACATTACGTTAAACAAGGCTGCAACTATAGGACTCAAAATCTACCAGTGCAAGCTGGGCCGAACCGAAAAGAGAAGATGTTTTCCCAAGGCAATTAGCAAATGATAGACAAGATTATTCTAATAGACTGTTCCCTGGTACTTCTATTAAACAACCGGTAACATTACTTTAGTATCTTAGAGACGGTGCCAAACAATAGGGAGGCAGAGATGACCAAAACATTGGAAAGTAACATAAAAAGCAAGCTAATTATGAAGGTGATGAGCAAAGAGAATGTGTGTAACCAACAAACAAGCATCCAGACCAAGAACAGACTGTCACCTCTCTCTCTCGTGGGGCTTGTGGCTGTTTGCTCTGCGCGCCTTCCGTTAGCAACCGAGTGCTTCAACGACGGTGGCACGAGGGCTCGTGAGGACAGAGAGAGATGCTTATTTCCCAGTGAGGCTTACATCAATGAGGAATGAATGAATGACAAAAGTTCTGAGGAAAAGAGAACAGTTCTTTTTAAGAATTGAAATATGGCTAATAGAGTATATGTCTATAAATATATAAATATATATATATATACATATATATATGGGTTATGTATGCCAGATTTCATATATATCTATATGTATGTACCTATGTACACATGTCTGTTGAAGGTATATGAGATGAAGCGGCAGAATTCCTTGTTAGGTCACACGGAGCCTCCTTGCTAACGATCCTGTGCGCGGTGGTTTATTTTCATGTTTAGTATATGCTAAGGCTGAAGAAGATCTTAGTGGAGCGTGCTGATGAGACTTAGGTAGAATCTGCGCTCCATGTGCTTTGAGGGAGGGGCAAAGTAAAAAGAGTGAGTTGCTGGCTGATGTCATCGAGCCGGTTCAGACTCATAGGAACCTTACATACGACAGAAAACCCTGCCCAATCCTGCGCCGTTCTCACCAGTGTTGTGTTTGAGCCCGTGGCTGCAGCCTCTGGGCCAATCCATCCACCTCCTTCAAAATGGCCATCTTTTATACCCTCTCCTTTGTCAAGCATGTATCCTTTTGCAGTGGTTGGTCCCTTCTGATAAAATCCAAAGGAAATGAGATAAAGTCTCACTAGCCTCCCTTCCAGGGCACATCCCAGCTCCAAGGCAGCTTTCAGACTTCCATCCTTGGTCCAGGCTGAAAGCTGATGGGTCTTTTTCAAACCAACAGAAGGGAGGACGATGCAAGCAGGTAGCAGTGTGTTCCACAAAGGGAAGTTATAAATGCTTCGTTCTAATGGGCAGTATCATTGTCATCTTATCAAGATTTTAAGGAAAATCTGAGAACTAGGTAGTTTTGAAATGATCGCGTAGTCAGTCATGCAGAGGTGGAATTTTGAAAACTGACTTTGGACATCTTCCCATGTAAACATAAAAATATACACACACCTATGCACACAGAGGTTTGTCATCTTTGATCAGAAATCCCATTTCTGGAAATTCATTCGTAAGAAATCATCCAGATCTGGGGAAATAGATCTATGTGCATATATTTATAGGTTTAGTATTAAGGTAGCAGATGGACATTGGGCCTCCACTCAAGTACTCCTTCAATGCAAGAATACTTTGTTCTATTAAACTGGCATTCTATGATGCTCACCTTCCCGACACAATCGCTGAAGACAAAG